TAGTAATCTAGAGTGGCAGAGAAACACGTAAGCGATCTCATTTCCAACATAATCGGTTTATTAGACATGTTATAGCTCCATTAAAAAAATTTTCTCAAACGTCAAAATATGAGATCATTGTTCGACTGATTAGTAGACGCCAACGTTTGATATTATTTATTTCTAGAGGAGATTTTTTTCCTTTTCTTGTGTTCGAAGCGTAAAGGGTTGTTATAAAAACCCAACAATTTATTTTCACTGATTATAAGGTTGTCTACTGCTTTACAACCGAAACAGCAACTAACTATTGGAAAGGAATACAAACCTACATACTTGATAGTAGCGGATATTTTAACCAACGCTATAAATATCTCTGAAAAGCCTATTATTGAAATAAATGCTTTGGGCAAATTTGCGGAAGTTTGAATAAAAAATAGCATATTTTATTTAGAGAAGAAGATATACGTTTCATGGCTTGCCTTCTATTAACACAGACTCGCCATGGAAAGTAAAACTTCTCCTCCACATAAAATAATTTACTATTTCATAGCTCCTTTTAACACACTTCTCAGAATGTGTTGAGGTATTCATATACCTAGATCTCCCCTTCGGTAAATTGACCTTTGAAAATTGTAAGTGTGTTTGAGACACTTCCACCCCCAAGGGAGACTGTTCAGAGCACTGGAAAAGTCTAACCAGGTAAACTATTAGCAGCTGAAGAAACAGAACTGATTGGGATGCTGTGCGAACAGCACCGCCGGCGGAAATTGGTTGTTGCCATTGAAAAATATTATGGCTCTCAATCCAATCATCACTGTAGTCGGTCCAGTTCTCGAAACAGTTCTACACGAATCATCATAGCAGGAAATTGCTATTGTTATTGACGTTCATGGGTAGGTTTCACAAAATTGAAACATACCTACGACTTAGAAGAAATTATGCTTTGTTGAATTAATGGTGCAGCACGTCGTTCTTTATAATATAAAGAACAGTAAAACTTGGAAACGGTGATGTTAAATGGACTAAGGTGCCAACGTAGCTGATGTAGATAAAATTTAATTAACAGAGGAAATGTGTAGCGAAAACTGTAAGAAAAGTTTCACTCCAGAACGTTTTATTTCAATAGCACTTTGAACTGAAATTTTAAATTAATTAATAACAAAACATGGAAAACTTTTAATGAACTAATTACGAGAATTTAATGAGAGGGCTCCTGTCAATTTAAGCAAATGGTTACCAGAGCGCCACGTTTATATGAACAATGAACAAAATATTATTCTACCTTAACCTCTTATTATATCGCCTATAGCTAATTAGACGTTATTCTTCCTACTCACCCGCATCTTTACGGAAGAGCAACTAGAAACTTTTACAGACACTCTTCAGGCACCCCACCATTATATAATATTCAATACAGAATACAGATGTTACATTATTCAACAAACTAGGAAGAGACAACCCACTTGCATCGATTGTGCTTGTGGTAGAGGTAACACACCTTTCAATTGAGTCTCAACTTGGCACAACTTGCCAAATGCACTACTATTTGAAATGCAGTCTGGTTTACCAACACTCGTGCTAAACAACTTAACTTGCAGCAAGTATAGTTTTGTTAACAGCTCTTAGTAAATTGAAGGCAATTTATTATTTATGGTGTTTCTAACCCCATATTATTTTATTAAACGGAGGCGATACTATTCGATTTTAAGACTGATGGAGGAACATCGCTTCTCCGATATTGAAACACGTGTACCTATATGTAATGATTCATCTGCAATTGTTTCTAACTCTTCTGGTGTATTTTTTGTTCGGGAATTGTCGGAAATTTTCGAGAATGTTTCGTGATTTTTCTAAAAAACTTTTCGTTTGGTGCATAAGCAAATTCAATTGTGTTTAATGAAACAACATCGACGCCGAATTAATGAGTAGTGATTGTATTCAATTAGTAAAGACGCAGGTGAACTCCGTAGGCAGTGCCCCGTAAATTCGTCGGAATTGGAAAATGTAGCAACTTCTTAAGGGACTATCTTATCAATCAGTCGGGTATTTATCTCCCTGATAATTAATGAAGAATTTATTTTCTGCATAATTTTTAGTTTAGTAACAGTAAATTTTCTAGAAACTGTTAGTCTTGGTATCATTGGAGGCATTTTTGCACTTTATGTATGAATGGTAAATCGTCGTTTTTTCTGTACCTATAGGTATGCGATAGGGCACTTAAAGATAACATACACATGAGTACAATTTATGTCATAAAGGAAAACGCTTCATTTGATCAACAAATATCCAATTATTTTTGTTTTGTTACTGTTTTTTGTTCATTTCTGTTAAAAATAAAATAACGATAATTTAAAAATACTCATTTGTGACAGATTTATCTTACAATGATAAACTTCCATGTCACTATAAGGGTATATATGAACACACACATTTTAAAATGACATCTCAAAGTGTTTTACGCCAAATTCAATTTAAATAACGTACAATTCGTCCTAACGAAATGTTAAAGCAATGCAAAGCATAAAATGTTGTTATTAAATTAAATAGCTTTTGTAGTTGGAGGGTCCATTACACCGCTGGCATGGTGACTGTGATTGGCACATTGTAATAATGTATGATTGGCATTTTAGCTTGTATCAAAAAAATTAGGTGTTCTTTTCCACTCTTTTTATTGTTTTAATGACTTATTTACAGGCGATTTCCAATTTTGAGGGCTGAAGCATTGCTATTTTCACCGGAGACCCTTCGCATTAGTGTTACAAGCGTAACACTAATTTTGGCAATCAATCCTTCCAGATGTTCTGCTATCGTATTTGGACCACTCAAAGAAATCAAAAAAAAAATCCTAAAGAAACCACCCATATTACTAGTGAATCCGCATTTGTCGCATATTCCGGTTTCCCTTCTAGTTACGCTGTTTATAGTTCAAGGCTGTGATGTGATTTATGGCCGCTGTTTGACTACTCCGAGCAAATATATAATCCAAAAGATGTCAAATTCTTGTCTTCGTAGAAACTTTGGAATCAAAACGCATGAACGCATTATATCTACAAACTACAAGAGCTCGGTTGGTTAAATATTACTACATTCAGCTTGCCTATTTCCCAAAATGTTTATAAACCAAATGCCACTGTATCTCTATGATCTTCTAAAATTTGGTTCAAATCCACGTTTCTATAAATTTAAGTTAAGTTAAGTGGTAGAGCAGATGTATCACATGCTCTGAATTTTGCCCTTTTAAACTTCTGGCTGCAATATAGTTTTTTTTCCTTTGTATGTTGCTTTATGTTTATTTTAGAAGTCTAATAAACGGCATCAACCAAAGTGAAAGTTCAATTTTTTTCTGTATGGGATGAAACTTGAAGTATTTAGCTACAAGATGACACCTCAATCACATCCACATGTATGTCTTTTTAATAAAATTCTATATGTAAGAAAAGTTGTAAAGTCCCTTTTGTAATACCATGTATACGTAGGATATTTTAAACAGAATTGACGCAAGGTCAAACTAAATGATATACTATACAAGCGGGGGGTAGGGTCCCAACCAAACGGTAATTGAATTTTCATTTTGGGAAAATATACTTCGCTGAATAAACTGAGCAAAAGAATTATAGAGGGTGCTTAGAAATTCACGTAAAATTTACAGTTTTGAAACTGCGAATACTTAATTTTTTAATGAAAATTGCCTTTTTCTGGATTCTACACTGTAAAATAAGAACAGTTTGTAATAATTACAATAGTTAAACTACTCTTATTTTCATAGTGAAATCAATTTTGTAAGTGGAAAAAAAGGAGTTTCAAAGTGCTAGATTAGGTGCGAATCTCTGAAGGCTTATGTTGCTGAAAATAGTGGGCCTATTATATCAATGATAAAAGGCAACTTATTCTGCGAAACGGTTTATTTCGAGCGGACTGAATTCAAAAATCTTTCATTATGAGCATTGTGGTCTCTTAGATCTGATTTATTCCAGAGTGGGAGACTACGAGATTCCATAACCCGCTTGAAACAAGTAAGAATTTCGTGTAAAACTGCGTAAATTTGCTTTTAAGCGGTCCTGTTAAGAGTAGTGAGAGTATTGGGAGACAGTTTGAGGTTGGCAATTGACATTTTACTTTATTTTGATTGGCTTAACTCTCAAAATATTTTTAAATTGATAGAAAACTCCACAACCTTATGAGTGACTTCGTATAGGCGGAGGTGTAAATTCAAATTAAGTGAATTTGAAGTAGTGGGCCGTGGTGGAAATATCTGTAATAGAAACAAAAATTGGCAGAATTTAGTAACTTTGGAATTATATCTCAATTTTCAGCTAGGTGTTATAGTAAGCCGTATCGTACTTTTTGCTTTGAGATTGAGTAGCATATCCGAAGCATTTTCCCGGGTGCAGGTGTACTGGTAAATAGAGAAAACTGTCACAATGAATAATGGCTTTGACGTAATTTCTGTTATGTACATAGCTTGCCGAAAGGCATATCTCCCTCAACATCAGTCACTTTTGACAAGCATCGTCAACACAACTTTTTGTTTTGAAAAATTAGTATCACAACCAGAACGACGCGTGTTACTTTTAAATTTATGTAAATTTTAAGAAACTTGTAATTTGAGGCTTGTTGGAAAACAACGAAAGCATTTATGTGGAGTTACTCTTCCAATACGATGCCACATTGTCATTCTACTTACTAATTTTTAGTTTGTTATTCTTTCAACGTTCCTGTTGCGTTAGCATAATAGGTTTTTAATGGCTCGGTAACTATAAGGTAGAATATTTCAATTACCAAGGAGATAAAGAGTGACAAGAGTGTTAATGTTACTTTGTAAAAGACGTCAGATAATTGCTTTCACCTCTCAATCGAGAGAATCTACTATATTACCTACGTAAACGGAAAAGCTTTTAATCTGACGTAGGGATAAATCTTCCACTCGAGAGGGCAAGGTGATGGAAGGCTTTTCCCGATTGAGGAAGTTAACTATAATTTCAAACGTAAAGGGCATTGACTAGTAGATCTTATTGTTCCAGGAGAGCACCCAGCAGCGATGCACCACGGAGGAAACTCGTCAGTAGCGCCTTCAACTGCGACGCTTCTATTAATATCAACGTTGATTCTACTGAGGCCACCTATCACGTAGCGCCTTTAGACGACGTGGACGGCGTCTCTCGACATCCATCAATTGTCTAATTGTGATGAATCGCACGTAATATTTGTTAAATAGCTTTGATTAAACTGCCTGCCAATTATTGAACCTAATCGCGGTAACAAATGGTGTGCGAGTGATGTTATTGATGAACCACATTTACAACCACAAATTACGTGTTTATAAACAATATTTTATACTGTCGCCCTAACGTCCCTCGTTCTGGGACATTACTGTACATATCACATAAATTTAATCAACGACTTTAAATATACGTGAACATATTTCCGATTTATAATAATCACATCTTAATGAATTTTGTACATAAATTCAGTATCTGTCCAATAGTTGTGAACAATAAAACTAAGCTCTATTAAAAATGATTATCAGAGCGAAAATTTGAAATTATTACGTATACATTGTAGAGTTAAAATTCAAATGGATTCAGTTGTAAATTCGGCGTATCCATCCATGTTAACTAACATGCTCAAATAAATTTAAATTAAAACCTATAGATCTGCGGAATCATTTTGAAGCGGATTTGTTAACAAATTTAAATCAAAGCAAATTTCGGATTACAATTAAGCGTGTATCACCCACTTACTTATGCATCACCTTCGCAACGTTCTAGATCAATATTATCTTCAGTCTACAAGGGCAAATTCTCAATTTTGCTTCAGGCTTTCAGTATTCTCTCATTAGAACGTTTTTCTCCATAATTCAATCCTGAAAATGATTGTGCGGGTTAATGATGTTTTTATAATTAGGACGAAGGGAGATTTAATTAATTTATTTATTTAACAAGGAACCGCTTAATTTAATTAAAATTGTACATTTCATTTAATGCTGGGACATGCAACCAAATGCGGCGATGTTCATGATTGCCTCAAGCTGAAATGTCCAGTATCGTTACCATGATATACGTGGCTCATAAAATTGTCAGAAAAATACAAATTGACAGTGTGCGAAGAGGATCTAGAAAAGCGGGCTCATTGGATTCAATAGGCTTTGTTACATGTGGCATATAGGTCAACTGTGCGAAGTACAGACAGACACCATCGACTTCTCTAAAAAGCTTGCATCACACTAAAAGGCCAGATAGGTGTATATAACTTTAATTAATTTTCATTGGTTCAAACAGCTTTCAGAGCTTGGTCTGACTTTCGGATCCTGCAATGTCAGCTTTTTTCTTACTTAATTTGATGAGTTGTAGAAAGAACAGAACACGACTAATTTCCAGCGTGTAATTTAAAACCGTAACCAGACAATGAGGCGACAAATACGATTTAGAACAATCAATCCATTGATAACTGTGTGAAGATGACTAAAGCTCACTTTTTATTCCAGTCGACAAGATGAAAACTTGAAACTACCATGAGTAATATTAATTTGGGAGAATGTTTTCATAACTTGAACTTATTTATTTCTGCGTAATTCGACGGAAAAAATCGAGAAAAATTTGACTCAATAAATTGCTCTAGTTACACCCCTCCCCCAATATTTGTTGTAAACAATTAACACTGATTTTTGCTTTAAAACTTCGATTTAAGCGCTATAATGTACCATCAGGAATTAGCATACCACTGTTGTAGTAATTCCTCCTCCCCCATGTATTTCCTGCAAGTAGAAAACACGGATTTCTTACTTATATGTACGATTATGAAATATTAGAAATTTTGTATCCCCCCTCCCGCCTTTCTTGTAAACAGTTAACCCTGTTTTATACTTCTACTTATGGGCTATAATGTAACAGAAATCAGTGGAGTTATTTTATTAATCCGTTATTTGGAATTTCATTTCGAACAGTATACAGTGAGTCCCCCGCCTGTTTCGAATTGAATTTTGGACTTTTGGGGATCAGCCCTGCTTGGTTGGACACTCAAAATTAGTGACATAATTTTAGTTTCAAAAAATTAGGGATTCCTTTGAAATTTTCTAAACGATACGCAAAAATGTTATTGTAACAAATTGTTCAGAATGCGAAACAGAGTAAAAAATTTTGAAAGTCCTAGGCCTACTTTTATTTATTTTTATCTGAATTTCTTGAGGAAATTCGAAACAATGTTAGGTACTTAAAAAACTGTTTTTATCGGCTTCTAATTTGGTACACGATCATTACATTCTATTTTGCAGATTTTCAGATAAAAATTTTATTTCCTACTAAACACGTACAATTTTTTGATGCTTGACACAGAAGAACATCCATATTACTAACAAAATTTGATATTGTCAATATTTTTTAGACTTTTGAGTAATTTTCAAGTTTTAATTTCATAACATAAGAATGATCGCATGTCAGAGTTTCAAATTCTGAAAACGATTCAAAAGTTGAAAGGATGTAAAACATCCAAATTTCATTTTTCCTTCACATATTAAGATTTTGGAAACTGCAATATTCAAATTCTGCTATTTAAGTGTCACGACATTTGAGACATTGAGTATATCTAATTAGAGGCTGCATTAATGCCTATTGCGCGTATGGCGTATCACCACAGAATCGTTTCCAAATTGACTCATTTGTCAAATTACTAAAACACGTCTGACCCTACGTATTAATTTTACACAGATACATATTTTTATTGTGTTGCAACAAACAGAGAGGGGTATATCCGAACGCATCGGAAATAAGACCTACTAGTAGCATAGAATGCTACGTTTCTATTGGTGAAGATTTGAAGGGGAATTATAATCCTAAAAGATTTCACGATCGATAAAATAAATGTCCCTAAAAGTTAAAATCAAGTTCCAGATTATTCCGCAACCAAGCTTTATATCTTACTTTTACTTAGGTACTTATTACTTTATGAGATAATGGATGTAGTGTTTTACCGTGATGCTACATTGAATAATTAATGATGAATTTAGGAATAAATTTAGTCATTGATTCGAGTTGAAGTACCTATTGCATTTATCTACCACAATACCCAGATATTAAATCCTTTCCCATACATTTCTCTTTAGAAACGCTCATTAAAGTTCGAAACAGATGTCATGCAATTAATTTGTATTTTAATTAAAGACAAAAACTAGATCAGCGAAGTTCGGGTTGCAAACTTTATATGGGAGCAATTCAATTATAGTTCTAACCTTAATTTCACGCTCAACATTCTTAATATCGTCTTTTCCTTTTACATGTTAACCGTTTGGGAAGCTATTACTTAATTGTACATAATATTTATCATCACAATGAAGCAAGTGTTTAGGGGAAATTTAGCCACTTGTAGTACAGTTTCCGAACACATTCGAAAAGCAACACGATCTAGTTCTGTAGCTGACAGATTCAATTCGTTTAAACTGTTGACAGAGTAGACAATTTTTTAACTTCAACTTCCGTTTCATTCAGTTCTATCATGCTGAAAAAAATATTGAATCCATCATATATGTCTTCAATTTTTTAAATTGATCTTCGATGATTTTTCTTTGTAAATGGATTTTTTGCTCATATAAAACAGTATTTTGTCACGTGTCGATTGTTCAGTCAGCAGCAGCAATTCGTTTTCAATTCTGTAAGTGTTTCTGTTACCTGTATCAATGTTATGAACATTAAAATGCTGGGGTTTATTTTATGTTTGTTAATGTGTTAGCGATGAAATTAATAATTATTTCATGTATATCCCGCTGATATTGTTTGTGACTTTTGTCGCAATCTCGAACACATGCATTGTAAATTGTAACAAACTGAATATGAGACATCTTCCTGATGTTATGCTCATTTATACTGTTTATTGTCTATTTAGGCGTTAATACTGTTTCGTGCTTAGGGCGAGTATCTCTTTTTAAAACATGGCCGTTGATTACAGTAAGTCAGTTTACAGTACCTATAAAAAAAATGTAAATGCCCCGTAGGTCCTTTATTCTGTTCTAATCAACTCAAAAGCTTCTGGGCAATGACATCGTCAATGAAAATGTGACGCTTTGTGCAAATTATTCTGTATTTCAACGATTGGTAACCCTCATTGAATTTAGAACGCAATATAGACATTTATTTTGTACTGACAACTACTTTTCCTCCGTAACTGTGATACGATCACATACAACATAATTCCTAGGAAGAGAAACAACATAGAATATTTTCTTCTCTCAATTTGCTAAAAACAAAAATTCTATAATCTGAATTTTGTGCTCTTAAACAGAGTTGGACTGGGTCAAGCATAGAGTGACCCAGTGACCCGGTGACCCAGTTAGTTTACTGACCCAGTGACCCAGTTGACCCGGTGACCCAGCTTGACCCGGTGACCCAGTGACCCAGCTTGACCCGGTGACCCAGTTTGACCCGGTGACCTTGACCCGGTGACCCAGTGACCCATCTTGACCCAGCTTTACTCAGTGACCCGTCTTGACCCGGTGGCCCAGTAATTAAATTATTGTTAGGTATCATCCAAAACAATTTCAAGTAACTTTTAATTTAAAAAAAAAACTTCCTCAATAATATTCGGCAACAAGCACGTAGCCCAATTTCATTCAAGAGAACTAATACCTAAAAAAATCAAATGCATTTGTTTATAGTTTGTAGTCAAGTAGTCAATGAAAGTATTTAGAGAAAAGATTTATTTGGATTAAGCTAACTAGTAGAAAAAAATTAAATGTGAATGAAATAACATTATTCTAATATAATTCGGGACATGGAAAGTTTTTTACGGCAGTATTAAAGCAAACATCACAGAAATGGCAGTTGTCAAGCAATCGAGTATTATTTTCAACAAACCAGCATTTCATTTATTTCATAATCTGTATACTTGAACCGAGGGCACTGACTTAACTGCGTTATTCGATCAAACTAGGTGACTGGGTCGAATTGGGTCCCCGGGTGAAATTGGGTCGCTGGGTCAAACTGGGTCACTGGGTCAAACTGGGTCAAGTTGGGTCACTGGGTCAAATTGGGTCAAACTGGGTCACTGGGTCTAACTGAAAAGAGTATGACGTGACCCAGTGACCCAGTTGAATTTAGTGACCCAGGTGACCCAGTTGACCCAGTGACCCAGTCCAACTCTGCTCTTAAACAGCAAGAAATCGCGAGGGGTAAATGGGCAAATTCGACTTCACGCTACTACACCCACTGATGGGATTTATTTTTCCGATGCCGCATAATGATTACTAGGATTACTAATTTTATACGCTTGTATGGAACAAGAAATCATCAAAGGGAAATGGGCTACTGTACACATGCTGATTTTATTTGCTGTACAGATACTGTATATTTTCGAGTGTCTCTCGGGATTAAAATACACACCGTTGGTATGTATATAATCAGAAAAAAGGTACATAATTTTTAAATTACATTTCACTTTTGCGCACAAATTTTGTCCATTGGTTCTTATCGGTTGCCAGTTTTCTCGCGTCTGCCCATGTCCTCTCCATTGTTGCCACATCATCGTTCCACGCTTTTTGGGTCGTCCTATTGTTCTTTTCTTTTGTACGCCTGTTTCCCATATCCTTGTCTGTTGTTGTCCATTCTGCTGATATGCCGAAA